CTGGAACGAGTCCTGGTGAGGTTGCCTTTGCATTTTTGCTACCATCTTTGAAGAGAAGAGGAAAGAAGGCAGTGGGCTGCAGGGCCCCCGTAACTGCAGTACTCTGGACTGCTGTCACTGCCAAAGTCAGGATTAATGGACACGAGGCAGGGGAGCAGGCCATGTCTGTCCCATAGGCCCCCAGCTTCCTGGCCCCCATTAATAAGAGTCTCTGACAGGCAGCTGCTCCCCGGGTCAGCCTGTGCGGCTAGCAAGGAAACCATTTGTTTTCTTTAAAATGAGCAGGGATAGCTGTAGGGGGGTCTCTTGATCCAAACACAGAGAGCACAAGGCGCAGTAAGAGAAACCTGAGCTCTACTGACACCAGGAGCAGGAGCCTGCCTGGCTTGTGTATTTACTTAACCGTGGGCCAGCTTGAAGCATACGCTTGGAGGACTATTCTTCACAATATCCCTTTCTGTCCTGGAAATGCTGAAGGTTGGGGACCCTCTGGCCTGTGGGGCTGCAGTGAATGGGCCTCTTCTGTGCAGCCAGCAATGTGCTACAAACTGTTAATCAGAGACAGGTGTTGTATGATTAACGGGCTCCAGGTCAAATCCACAGTGACTTGTGCTTTGTGCAAAGCTGAGAGACCAGGGGTCTCCATGTTACCCTACAGGCTTGAACCAAGTAGGGTTTATAGATGACCACAGTGAAGGTTAACGTGGAGGGGGGGTGACTAGAGAAATGAGCATTATAATGTATTGTGCCACCTCCCCAAGCTCATGTAAACCCAGTTCCATTTACATTTGATGTGTGGGAATAAGGGAGGGTCAGAAACAGGTCCCTGTGGAGGAGGGAGAGAAAGAACAAGTAGGAGAATTAGATCAATGGTGTCACAGATTTTGAATGCTAGAAGGGACAATTAAGATAATCTAGTCTGGTCACTAGCAAACCCTGGGGACGAGACCCATCCCTAGTGATTTCTGTCTCAAATTCAAAGCTTGTTTGCATTTCTGGCATGGCTTTAAATACATATCTAGTCTTGTCTTAAAGACTGCAAGTGATAGACAAATCTCTGTGTCTCTAGGTAAATTGTCCCAATGATTAATTTTCCCCACTATTACAAAAATGGCACCTTATTTCTTGTCTGAATGTGCCTGCCTTCAGCTTCCACCCCTCAGACCTTATTGTTGTAGATTGAAGGGACATCTGTTTTCAGTCATGTAGATCAAAAATTGAGTCATGCCGTAAACCCTGTCTAAGGAGTAACCCTGAACTTAGCTGCAGGGTTCAGAACTGAAGAGACAACCTTGTTGAAGTACATTCTGCTAGAAATACACCCTGCTCCACTCCTACATCTAGGATCTCCCACAGGGAGATCAACACAGTGGCACTTTCTGCGTCGCGCCGCCATTATCACCTGACAGCTACTCCGCAGGCTCTGTGAAAGAATCTCGGTCGGCTTCCCCCAGGATGAGTGCCCACATCACATGAACACACACTCACATGAAGTGCTCTCATCAGCCTGAACAGGATAACCAGGGACTAAATGAGCCAAAGGGATGAAGCTCCTCTTGCCCCAGGTGAGCCCTCCAGGTTGGCTGGAGGCTTGTTGGCAGTGGAGTGTGGAGACAGACACCTGCGTGTGCTCTCCAGATCCCTTGGTCTAAAACTGAGCTGGCACATCCAACCCTTGGACTCTGGTTGCTCTATGAGACAAAAGGTGCACAAGGATGCTCAGAGCCAGGCTTATTAACATCTGATAGTTTGCCTGGCTTTGGTCTAAATTAGCTTTAATCTGCCTCAGTTCTCTACCTAAAGAAGTATTTCTGATGTGGTCCTCTCCAAAGTATCTGGGTACCAGTCGTAATGGTTATGGATGTCTCTGATAGTCACGATGGTTATGGATGTCTCTGATGAACTGCAACAAAAAGGCAACTCCCAGGCAGACCTGGCTGGGGGGAGTGAGACACCTCAGCTCACCTTCCTGACATTGTCCTCACTGCACATACTCCACTGGTCTGGCAAAGCCTCCCTACCAGCAAGTCAAGGGGACATTCCCTTTGTGGCTAGTCCCATTTCTGACTGGCCCTCCAGAAGCTGTCGGTTCCCTCTGTCCAAGCTGCTTGCTCTGGGCTATGTCATTCACCCAGTGGGTCAGAGGTGTAGTTATTTCTAACACTCTCAGGATAATATCAAGCCAGATGCTTGTCCTTTAACAGGACCCGTATTAATTCTTTCCACAGAGAGGAAAACCTGGGTGGATGCTGCGTGGGTGAGATCAGGGAAGCCTGGAGTCCTGATCCTCCTGCCTGAGTGAATGTAGTCGTCCATGGAAGCGGGCGGGGTGTGTGTGTGCAGGACAGGAATCTGCATTTGGATTTGAGGCCAGCTCAGAAATAGGTAGAGCCACCAGCCTGGCTGCCTTGGCCTTTGGCCTCCTGCCATGCTGAGCTGAGCTAACAGCTCTGTGTGTGGTGGGAGCCAGGTCCGTAATGGATTAACACAGAACAGCGCCCAATGAGGAGCTGGAGTTTAATGCTCCATTCAGTGTTTCACCTGTGAAAACAAGGATTGTTCTTAGCAGCGAGTGAAAAATCAGTTCCTGGAACTCTGGTCCACGTGGCAGTCACCTCCCACAGGCTCCCATTCATCCACGCAGTCAAACAGCCCAATTGTTTAGCTCCTGCATGCACTCAAGGAAGAAACTGGGTTGTTGGGGGTTTTGGGGTTGTTTGGTTTTGTTTTGTTTTGTTTTGGGGGGGGGGGGGGTTACTTCAGTGGCCCCTTGGGGAAAGCACAGAGCAAATTGTGGTGGGTTGCTAGTGGCTGTGGGAGTGCCCTTGCTCACGGAGCTAGGCTACTGTGTGCCTGTGTGTGCTGTGGCCCCTCACAAACCAGCCTGGTGCTTTGGCTTAGGTTTTGTTGATTCTTGGGTTTGGGGCGATGCACTGTCAGCACTAACAGTTACAGGGCTGTTTGGGTGAATCTCAGTCGTTCCTCAGTGCTGGAGTTGAGAAGACACACTGGGCCTCCTCTTTGGGTCCAGCTGAGCTGGGCTCAGCCCAGGAATGCACGAAGCCAGCTTTGCTCTCCCCAAGAAACGTGGAGAGCTTGTCCTCAGCACAGGTCAGAGCAGTCTCAGAGTTCCCCTGGCCAGGGACTGCTCACTGCAGGGAAAAAGGTCTCGCAGGCCCATTTATCTTTTTAACTTCTTTGTTTTAGTTTAGAGGTGAAAAGGGTCCAAGGATCTTATTTAGGGCCCCAGCTGCAGGCCTGTGTCTCTAAGGAGGGAGATCCACAGGTTAGGCCAGCAGCAGGTGAGAACTGCAGCCCTCTGGCACTGCTTTCTTGTGCAATCTTGGACAAGTCACTTTGTCTGTGCTTCAGTTCCCCCCCAGTGAAATGGGAACAGGGCTGTTGGGAGGATCCAGACCTTTGTAAAGTGGTGATGATCAGGCCTGAATGCCAGTTAGCATCCAAACCTGAGTAAACCTGCCAAGGGGAGATTCTGGAGCTGAGGAAAGGGCTTTTTGGTACTGGGCCCCTCTGTAGGCTCATCGGTTTCAGAGCCCTGATGCAAACCTCGCCTCCCCTGGCAAAACCTGCCTCATTGTAACAGCATCTCTCTGTGTTTCTCTTTCCCCCCCCATTCTCAAGCCCCTAAGAGGCGTATTGATCATGGCTCTGCTACTGTTTGTGCCTGAGTACATACATCTCATAAGATCTCACATTGTTTTCTGCAAGGCATGCATATCCATGGTTTTCTTCTCAAAAGTATGCTTCTCCTGAACTTGGGGGCTTTTAGCCATGATGGAAAGAGCCAGCAGTAGCAGTCATACTTCTCTAAATAGGTAGCAAATCCCATCAGAGCCAGAAAACAAGGGGAGATCAGTGCAGTGTTAAAGCAGGTTACAGTTCTGTTCCCAATTCCACCCATGACTTACTATGGAATAGGAAGAAGTCATTTCCTCTTTCTGTGCTTCACTTCTTCCATCTGTTCAATGGGAATCATGGTATTGGCCTACTGGAGGGAGGTAATAAGAATGAATTTGGCCAGGCTTGTCACGAGCAACTTTACAACTAAGATTTGCAAAGTCCTTTGTGTTCCTAAAATGAAGGATCCCAAAGAGACACTTCTGAGCATTATTCATGGCCTGGGGTGGTCACTGTCAGCTTTCCCTGCTGGGGTCCATGGGAGAGCTGCTCTTTGTCACTTCGTTTTCCTCAGCTTTCTGCTCTGCATGTACAGATTGGTACCTGCCAATACCAGTGGCTTCCAAACTGGCAAGGCAGCAGAAGGTCCATGGAGAATGAGCTGGGTACCATGATTTCATTTATCCTTTCCCCTCTTGTCCAGCGCATGTGTAGCCACTGTGGACAGAGCTGAAGTAAGGAGGCACTGAGGGATGGAGGACAACCAATACCCCTGCCCATTAGGACTAAGATCATGTGACAAAAATAAGGAAAACCAAAGCACCTCAGCAGAAGGACTACAGAGGAGCTGGACAAGTATCTCCCAAATGCTGGGCAGAACTTCTGAGCCTTGCTCATAAAGAGAGTTACCATAACTATAAGTTCATTCCTGTCCCACCTCTGTAGGGATCATGCTTGAGGGAGTCCCTGCAAGACTGGGCAAGAAGCAGGAAAGCTTGGTGTATCTGGAGGAAGGGAGTGCTCCAATCTGTCTATCTGGCAAACATGTGCACCCCCTCCCCTGGAAATGTATAGTAAAGGACTGCCATGAACATCCCTAGGCCTGGTAATTCAGTGACACAGAAGGGTGGTGTTAGCACAATGGGGCTCTTTTGCATGGACTCAGGAGCTGTTTGCATATCAGGATGAGAGTTCATACCTGGGGAGAAAGTCATTAAAGTCTGTTTACATGCTCTGCCTACACTGAGATGTACACATGAAGTCTAGTCTGAATTCCACTTGTGATTTTAGTACCAGGCTAAACTTGGAACAAAGTGATGATCATTACAATAAAATCAACATTCATAGGCAAGAGATGTCTGGCAAGTGTCTCTTTATTGCTGGGATTCAGTGCCAGGTAACAGGAGCCTTTGTCATAGATTCAGGTCCACCAAGGAGGAGGCTCTGCTACACTAGTTTGCATTCACAGATGACATCACAGGCGTGACAGGACCAGGAGAGCTTTGGTACATGAGGGACATTTAGATAATGTTCGTAACTGGAAGGAATATGGTTCACATTCACACAGAGCTCTTCCTTGAACTCTACCCCTCACCCAGCTCCTCTGCTATTTGAGGGGGAAGAACATGCTCTAGAAAATCAGGAGACAAAGGGTCTCAGGACAGAAGTAACAGAAGGCACCCCACAAAGGATTCAAAAGCACTGTGCTGAGAGAGTGGGATGGGGATGGGGGTTGGAATTAGAGGCCACACCGAGGCAAGTCCCCTTGTCACACAGGATGGTGGCTTACATAGCACTAGGACAGGAACTGAGGATGAGCAGGTTTTCCCTTCTCCTACCTCATCTCTGACTCCCTCCTTGTAAGACCCCTAGCAAGCTGATCCCCAGCTATCAGCAAAGCCCGACTAGATCACAAATTCTGTTCCCTGTAGGCTGCTATGGGACTATATAATAAGGAAAAGTAGCTTCAATGCTGTCACAGTCGTGGCACCTCCCTGCACACATCTTGTGTTACAACTCTTCCAGAGGGACTGCTTCTGAAGCTCCACCCCAGTTTTTATTCATGAGGCCCAGACTTAGAGATGATCGGTCAGATTATACCAACTGGTATAAACGTAGATAACTCCATTGCTTTAGCTGATTAAGACTGGCTGACTCCTATGACACACAAGACAGGCCCTTGATGGTCTGGATCTGCCATTCTGGTGAAAGTCTGAGATGCCTTTAACACTCACTTCCTATTAGACTATGTTACCATACTGCATGTGCAATGAATTACAACATATGACATGGATTTCTTACAGCAAAGACATTACCCTGGCCAGTTCTCTCTCTTTCCTCTCTCACACCAGAGTGGTGACAGCCCAGTCACTGAGATCAAAGTCGTATGAACTGATACATAAATGCCTGCCTAAATTAACTATTTTCCCAGCGAAAAGAGCCAAAAAGTGCTATAGAAAGCTTCAGGGGGGTTACTGTTAGGATAGAAAAGTATATATATAAAAAGGTGTTGAAAAATATTACTACCTTGCTTTCAGGATTAAAGATATATACACAAAGATATATTTTTCTATATATATATTTATATTGGATAGAAAACAAGATGACAAATTCTGCAACAATCTGCCAAAATCATGGGTGAAAAGGAGATTTGATCAGGAATATTCCAGCTGCATTTGATCATCTGTTTTGTCTGGTTTCGATTTGGAGTTCTCTCCCCTTTAATGGAAATCAAATATTCAATTCATGTGCAAATCAAGCCAAAAGCTTTAGAGACAAAGAGATTGCTGAAGGAACTCTCACTTTCCAATGAGGATGAGCAGGGCAGCAAACAGCACTTCCCACACAGAGTGGGAACACTGGAAACTCCCTTCCCCATCAACACCAAGTCTAAGGACTGTTTGAAGTGAGAGCTGAGCTGCAGGAAACTTCCAGGATGGAACTGCTGCTTTTGCAAAGCATTTCTGCTGCCTAATGGAAACCCTCAGATCTGGTCCTCTGCGAAGAAGCCAGTGCCCAGCTGCTCTCGATTCATCCCTGATGCCATGCACCTTGTTGCCTGTCTCCTCTCTGAATGTCCAAGCCAGCCACGCTTGCTGCGCCTTGTCTCAGAGGAATGGACTAGCATTGAAGGTTGATTCCACTTACTTTTGGAACAGGGGTTTTTTGTTTTGTTTTGTTTTGTTTCTCTTTTAGATCTCTGAGTCCCTCTCAGGATTTTGTGACATAAGAACAAACAATGGCCCTTTACAATAACCTAGAAATAAGAATGATGTGTAGCTACAGTATGTTTCTGTACCCCAAGCTTGAGTGCTTCCTGGCCATCTAAAGAGATCACTTCTTTTTGGCAATCTGGTTTTCCAAGTCTTCGAGTCTGGCTGTCATCTGAGCAAGTAGTCACGCTAAGGAAACTGGGCAATAAAGAAGCAGTGGGGCCCGACACTGAGGGAGGACCAAGGGATGGCCTTCAGGTGATGTTGGTGTCAGCCCAACAAAACACAGAAAAGGGTGAACTGAATATTTCGTGGGCTTCATAGAAAGAACATCCTTCCTAGGGCTTGCTGGAACCACCTCCTTTCTAGGAGATGCTCACCCTGACACTGGCATAGTAGGTTTCTGTTTATACGTGGGCAGAATGATTATCAGACGTGCCGCTGCCCTCCCCTCCCCACTTTAGTCTGTTCTTCCCCTTCTTCTAGGGGCCTAAGGGCCTCAAAGATCCCCTTCACTCTTCCCCCAACTTTAAGGGTCCCTGTGCTGTGGCTCCTTCTTCCTCCCACAGATGGAGGCTGGATCCAGCTCTGGTATTACCACTGACACAGATAGGGCCACCTGTTAGCATAGAAGGCACGTTTGTTGCTGCACATGCTAAGGTGTGCTTGGAGCCCATTGCTTTTTCTGAAGGGTAACAGGAAGCCCAGCTGAATTGGGAATCAAGCTGTCACCGTCTAGTCGACATAACAAGTGGCAGGGGCCAGATTCTGCCCTGACGAACAGAACAGCCCACAGACACCCATTGACTGAGTGACCAGAGGGAGAATCAGGGTAGAAGTTGGCCCTAAAGGCTTGGAACGAAACAGACTTGATCTGGTTCCTGTGTGGCTGCCATTCAGCCATGGCCCATGTTGGCTACCCAAAAGGATATGTTTCTCTGTCAGGCTCTCCAGGATGGCCACAGTGTTTGACTGGAACTGCACAAGGGCCTCGCACTCGCATGGGCTCCGGATTTCAGTCTCTCCTTTGCCCTCCTCTGAAAAAACAAACAAACAAACAAAAACCAGGTGAATTGTCATCAGTGCTCTGCTGCCCACCTTTGTGCTCTCTGAATGTGCTTTACACAGAAACTATACAGGCCTCCCAGGAGAAATAAGCCCCTCTCCCAGTGACAGGGGTGAAGGTGATTTGGCCAGTGGTACACAACTACTTGGTGACAGAGTCAGGAATAGGAGACACAGAGTAGTAGGAAGAAAAGTCCTGACAATCAGCCCACGTTTTACCCACTATTCAGACTGCCTCTGTCCTCAGGTTTGCAGAAGGCTCTGAGAACAAGACACAAAACACTGCAGGGATAGTGCTCTCTCTCTCTTTCTCCTTGGACACTTCCCATGCTCATTCAGGGGGGGCTGTGCTAGTTCACTGACAGGAAGAATCGGAGCCTAATGGGTTTGTGTCAATGCAATGAGGTGGGGTAGGTTTATCCATTTGGGTCTAATGCTGTTGTTAATTCTTTTAAAGAGCCCTGCAGAGCTCTATTTTATCTCCTATTTTATCTCCCAGGTCTTTTTCCAGTAAGCTTGATCCCAGTGGTTCTAAATTCTAGGTAATTTTCATAAAGCAGTAGCTCTGCTTACCTAAGAAAAGCCCAACAAGCTTATCTCTGGGAACACAGCCCATGGGCAAACAGTCTGGGACAAAACACTTCCTTTTTCAGGCTCTATATTTGCCAAACAAGCCTCCAGGCAGAGCATCCACAATAGAGTGAATGAAAACTGCCCAGGCCATGAGACTCATTACTCTGTTGCTAATTAACCTGCCTTTGAATTTCTGGTTACAAGACTTCACAGCAAAGAGGGATGCCAGAATCTACTGTTAGTTTAATGCAGCCATCTACCCCAAGTATCTGTCATCTTCTCTGCAGCTTGGGTAGGGTCTCTATAAACCAAGCTGTTTCTTTTTAACCTAATTAGATAGAGAGGAGTTGCTGTGTGTTACCTGCGCTGGCTAGAGAGGAATTCTGGCAGAAAAGAAGATAGCCTTAATTCTACGTATGACTGGAGATTCTGTGGCAACAGCCACATCAGTGCTGCCAAAATAAATCCAGTCCCCCTCTGCTTTTCCATTCTTATCATGCACCCCCACTCTCCTCAATACTGCATCAGTGATGCCAGCTGCTCACATCTGCCCCCTATACATCAAATTGTCACCAGTGGCACCCATTCTGCTCTCTCAAATCCTCCCTCAAGACCCAGGTCTGACACGATGCCAGGAAGAATTCAGCCTAGGCTTGAAGGAGATATGGGGTGCCCAATTCTTAACAATAAGGCTAATGCATGCATGTGTGTATAAACAATACATCCATTGGCTACCTCTCCTCCACATGCTTTGTATCAGTTGTCACCTTAAGTGTAGAGGAAAAATGGCCCAGCCATTAGGGTACTAGCCTGTGAGTCATGAGGCTGGTGTTCAGCTTCCTGTTCTACCACAGATTTCTCATGTGGCTTTGGGTGAATAACTTAGTCTCTCCCTGCCTCTGCTTTCCAAAATGGAATAACACTGTACTGTAGCCCACAACGACTGTGAACAGAAGTAGGCTACAGAATGTGAATGGTAGGGCAATGGGTACCATAACTGTCTTAGAAAAACTTGAAAGCTGTTTGTGGTTATATCCTCATCTGTATTTATATAGTGCAAGAGAAACCCAACTCCAATTGGTGCTACCGCAGTGGTATTATTGAACAAACACCCGTCCCATCATGGGCGAGGTTACTTTGCAGACTCTGCCCCCACCTACCAGGGCAGATGTTAAGTTTGAGGTTGTCAACGATATGGGTCATGGTGCTGAAATCGGCGGAGTATGAAAAGTGCTGCTCCACGGGCTCGGAGGCGATTTCCCTCAGCTCCTCTTCCACAGCTTTTCCAACCCCAACTGCAAACATGACGATTCCTACACAACACAGCAAAAGACAATTCCTTACTGCCTGAACATGGCCTGTGGACACGAACCTGGGGAGACCAACCCAGCAAGCTCAGTAGGATACTGTTGCCCAAAGTTGTCTGGCCAGCCAGTTAAGGTGGGGCCTTGCAAGGAAATCACAACTGTTGGTATGGGCTATTCACTATTGCAACACAGAGCAAGAGGCATCATTCAGCCTGCTTCAGTTGTAAGCTGGTCTGTATATAAATGTGATGAGTACCAGCAAGCTATGCTCACTCAGGGAAATGGGAGCTTCAGTATGCCAGACACCATGATCTACACCCGGAAACCACCACCTTTGGGCACCCTGAGACGTTGTGCAAAATTGGCCTGGAATGTCATGTTTCTAAAGTGCATCCCCCTCCAGGACCCATCCCAACAACACCCTATGAGCTGGAAACCCTTTGAGATTTCTCACCCCCTTTACTCCTCACCCGATTCCTTTGCCTTCATGGCCCACTCAGAGATATCATCCTGGGAACGTCCGTCAGTGAAGACCAGCCCAATTCTGGGTATGTTCTGGGACAGTGGCCTGGCACCTTCTGCCTCAGAAAAGCTGTGCTCAATCATGTGCTTGAGAGCCAAGCCAGTCATGGTGCCCTTCTCCATGTACTCCACCTTCATTACAGCTGCCTTGACATCATTTGCTGTCTTGTATTTGTTGAGTGGGAACTCGGTGCGCACACGGCTGGAGTATTGGACCAGCCCCACACGTGTGCCATGTGGCGACACATCCAGGAAATCTACAATCTGGTTCACAAACTGCTTCACCAGCTCAAAGTTCTGGGGCCGGACACTCTTAGAGCCATCAATCACCAGCACTAGGTCGATGTGCCCTGCCTTGCACTCTGCAAGCAGACATGAAGGCAAAAGGTCAGAGGGTGCCAGCCTGGCCTGCCCAGGGAGACCCCAGAGGGCAGAAATGCCAGGGGATGGAGTTGAATGAAGGGGAGCTGGGATTCCTGATGCTTCCCCACAGATTCTCTCCTGAGCCATCAGGGCAGGTTGCAGCAGGTGCAGCAAAGCAGAGCAAAATATAATTGGGAAAAATATTGCTAAATATCCCCATCAAATATCCACTCCCATCAAATCCTGACACCCCCCTCCCCCAAAAACTCCCTTTGTAAATCGTACCCAAATATCCTGTGTTGCTGCCTGCTCTGTCAGAGGAGGATGAGATCCTGCCCTGTCCCTTCCATTAGAGCCTGTCATTGCCTTTCCTCTGTTAGTCAGACTCATCTCTACCAGATGCAACAGGGCTCTCTCCTCTCCTCCCAGGGGCCAGTGTTAATACCCTCTGAGCACACTCCTTGAATTTGGGTGCCAGCTGCTATGGAATGAAGTCCCTTTTAGTAAGGAACCTGTCTGCAGGCCCCGTATCCCCAGATACTCACTGTTACATGTCTTCCCATCAGTTTGGAGCTGCTGTCCCTCTGGGCAAATGCAGTGGTAAGAGCCTGATGTACTGACACACTTAAACTCACAGCCGTGATCTACTCCATTGCAAAGGTCAGTAGCTAAAACACAAATCAAACACAAATCTTCTTACATAAGTTATAACCATGCAGTGAGCTCCCCTCTTAAAGGTAGGAGCTCCGTGGGTCTATGTCAGATATACCCATGCTTGTCAAACAGGGAGCTGAGTAAGCAATCATGCTGTACATGCAATGTATCCCTTCACAGGACCTGAGCAGCATGCATTTATCTCAACAGAAAGCAGTGATGGGTTCAAGTCCAGAAAAATTTCATGTCCAGACTTCGGGGCAGGTTCAAAATCAGGATCTGTATTTTGTAGCTTAAGCAATTCATTCTTTTCAGGGCTGGAAAGAATTCATTATAGCTATTTGTGACATCCCAGCCTTCCAGGTGTGACGCTTGGGCATGTGCTTTCCAATCCCATCTGCACTCCCCAAGCTCCAGGATGCTGGTGCCCTGGAAGACTATCCTGGGTTACTGATGTACAAGGTGAGCACATCTATCAAAAGGACAGCATTCTGGTGACAGATGCTTGGGTTCCAACCACAGCAGGTTACTGTCGCCCAGTTATGCTCTTGGTCATTACAGCCATTCTCTGCAGAGGCGAAGCTCATGCAGCGCTTACCCTGACATGATCTGCCATCAGCCTGCAGAGTGAAGCCATCATTGCAGCGGCAATAGTACCCATTCACAAGGCTCACGCACTCGTGCTGGCAGCTGTGGTTCCCAAAGTTGCAGTAATTAATCGCTGGTAAGAGAAGTAGACACATGGGGAAGGACCTGATAAGGGACATCTGCTTTGCATCTCAACCCTTGCAGAGATCTCAAAGGCTAAGTTGACCACTGTCTGTCCTGGAGGCAGGATGCTCTGATTTTACATCATGCTTTCATTACCATGCGTCTTCAGACCCCCTGGAAATATGGGGTTCCCACTCACACAGGTGTCTCTATGCCAAGGCCCTGCTTCAGGAAGCAAATAGGGTCTATTGATGACACACCTGGGTGATGGAGCTCCTGCCAGTGACTGACTGTGTGCGTCTTGATCTTAGTCTAGATAAAGCATTCACAGGCTACCACTGTAAGCTGAAGTTCTTCTTTGGGACTCAGGCTGCTAGAAGTAAGCAGAGATCACCAAAAAAGGACAAACATTGGCAAAAAAGTGTGTTTCTGTTTCCAAACTATCTCCAACACTTCTCCACCATCTTCTAGCTTGAAGAGGGATATGGGAAACAAAGTCTCAACAGCTGAAGGGAACATGGGTGCTGAGGGTAGAGAGGGGAAATGATGAGAAGGAGAGAGGGAAAGTGTGGGGTGATGAAAGATGAGGGAAATGTGATGGAAAATGAGGAGGAAAAGGAGGAAGGAGCAGAGAGAGGGGGCAGTTACTTACCAGTACAGGTTTTTTTATCATCATTGAGGGAGTAACCCAACCGGCAGCGGCAGGTGTAAGACCCACGCGCACTGACACACTGGTGCTCACAGCCATGCTTCCCATCAGCACAGGCATCAATGGCTGCAGAAGAAAAGAAAAGACTTGGTCACCCACCCCTTTACCATCTTGCTTCCTCGTGCTCCCACCACCCAGGGGTCAGGACTCAGGGAAAAGACAGGCTCAGATCCCAGCACGCACAGGATGTGTCTGACATAAGGAGGAAGAGGCAGGTCTTACCAACCCACAGACAAGAGCGGAGAGACTGTTCAGCTCCAGAAAGTCCTAACACTACCTCCCCCACACACTAGCATGGCGCAGAGGGTCCTGATGCCCACTGCTGAGCTGTGCATTTACACACCATTTTCAAAGTGCAGAGCCTAGACATCATGCCAACAACTAATTCCCTCTAGTAATTATCCCCACCACCAAACTAGCAAGTGCAGCTGGAGACAGAGGGGCCTAGCAAGAAAGAAAAACAGACTAGGATTGAGGAGACCTCGGTTCCAGTTCTGACTGTGCTGTGGGCCTGCTCAGCAAGTCACTTCACCTCTCAGGGCCTCACTTTCCCTGTCTGTACAATGGGGATGACACTTGTAAACTGTTTTAAAACGTACATACTTGGGGAAAGTGTGTTAGAGAGAAATGAAAAGCTCTTACCGGAACATGTCTTTCCATCAGCGTTGAGCTTGTATCCTGGGTTACATCCACAGTAGAAGGAGCCTGGAACGCTGACACAAGTGTGTTGGCAGCCATGATCCAGCTCTGTGCACATATCCACACCTGAAAGACATGGCTGGTTATGCTGGATTCACTGGCTACAGCATGTATGAGGAAACCTAACCTACCCAGGTTCTGACATGACCCCATCTCTGCAGGAGCTGGTCAGCACCCTCTGCCTCAATTTTCCCATCTGCACAATGGGGATAGTGAGAATGGTCTTATTTACAGGGCTGTTAAATCTACTGATGAAAATCTCCGAAAGCTAAGTGTTTATTTTCAGCTTGTGTCAAGTAGGTCAAGGTTACAGCGCTTCAACCAAAATAAAATACCCACACAGTTTAATCAAACCAGCTCATGTGTGCGCATGGACAAGGCCTCAGGTTTGGCTGAAATGAATACTAAAGCTGGGAGATGCTAGAAATGGGACTTCAAACAGAGGTCTGGAACCAGAAGCTCAGAAGCCCTTCTGAGCCTTCAGGCTTCCCATAAAGAAAAGCTGGATGTGTCCTTTTGTTCCCTCATAACACAGAACCCTCCAGTCTGGAAGAAGCATGAAGTCTCGAAGGCTGGAGGGAATATGAGTGCTGAGAGAAGAGAGGGGACTTGCAAAGGGGAACTGATGAGAAGGGAATGAACAGGGAGATGAAAGATGAGGGAAGAGGGATGGAAAAATGAGAATCTAAAGAAAGAAGAAGCAGGGAGAAGGGGCAGTGGCAACCAAGCACTGGGGGCACCCTGGGCTGTCTGGCCAATTCCCCAAGATCTGATCTCATCTGTCAGCACAGAAGCTGCACATCGGCTCCAGGCATTAAGATTACGAACTCCTCTCTTCTAGCCAAGACCAGCCAGACGAGTGCAAACAAGCTGTCTCATCCCAAGTTTTGATTAGATACAGATGCACAGCTGCACGTGGGAAATGTGCAGTGAGTCACAGCACAGCTCGTGCCCCGGGGGCAGGAAGCCTGCTGCCCAGAATCACCTGGGACAAGTAAGACTCCAAACCCCACGGAGGGGATCTCTGATGACTCCTACTCCCAGTGGAGGGCACCAGCTCTGCACTTCTGCTGGCTGGCATTCCTGTTATCACCGCTTTGGGGCCAGTTTTCCCCTGCCCCTGTGAACACAGCTCAGAAATACTTGCTGGAGCAGCATGTACACACCCTCAGTTGCAGGCAAGGAATGTGGTAGCTAACATATTGTTTGGACACTTTCTTTAAGATTACTTTTAATCAACAGGGAAGAGTGACAAAACAGACTTAATTGAAAGGGAAAATATCAACACTTCTCCTATACAGGTTGTCTCTTCCCAGGGCCTACCACAGCTGGACTCGATCTTCCGTGGGGGCTGGACTCAATCTTCTGAGGTCCCTTACAGTCCTAGTGTCTATATCTATGAAAATAACCCATAGCATGCTTGAGTACCTTGCTTGAGCTCTTGGAAGCATCTGCATCACCTCCCTTGGCAAATGTTGCTTCCCCACATCAGTTCTTATAGAACAGAAGTTAACTTAGCCACGGATTGGTTTGGCTCACTTGATGCCCAGTTCAAAGCCCACTAAAATCCATGTGTTCCACTGAAGTCAATTCATTCATTAAATTTTCACTCTGACCCTTGTATCTTTGTACAAACAGGCAAGGTGCAGACAGTTACTGTGAGAACTTCCCAAACACAAATGAGCTGATGTTTCCCTGTCTTGACCCTAAATCACCCATGCACCTTGGCTCAGTTTCTACAGCACCTACTGGATCCCAGTTGCCTGGGCCCCCACACACAGTCCTTTAGTCCTCACCTTACAGCACATTGTGCTATTCCACAAGTGAGTTTCTCTAGAGTACAAAAAAACAGCTGCCATGAATTGGATTGTGATTTAACAAGATGGGGCTAGGTTTGAACTCCAAAGGGGAAAGCCCTCACTCCCTTCCGTGATCCAGCACCTCCACAGCTCGTCCTTCATCCACCCGACCCTTCCACACCTTCCTTGTAAATCCTGGCCCCTTCTGGCCTCACAATAGACTGGGGCAGTTCTGTGCCCCTCACTCACCACACAGCTTGTCCTGGAACTGCTTGCCAAACTGCTGGATGAGATCGAAAGACTCCACCAGGAAGACATGCTGCTCCAGTGGGTGGGAAGCCATGGCCCTCAGGGAGTTCATGTCTGCCCGCTGGACACCCACGGCATAGATCTCAATGCCAGCATCCCGTGCCTGGGCTGCCACCTCTGTCACACGGTCCTGGGGCCGCCCATCTGTCACAATGACGGCCACCCGGGGTATCTTCTTGTGAAGCTCACGTGCCCCCTCCTGGGTGGTGAAGGCCACGTTCATGGCATACTGGATGGCCAGCCCTGTCATGGTACCTTGGGACAGTGGCACAATGCTGTTGATGGCTTTCTCCATGTCAGCCCGCTTGAAGTAAGTCTTGAGGGAGAAGACATTCTGGACCTGGCTGGAGTACTGGATCACCCCCACTCGTGTGGCATTGAGCCCCACATCCAGGTTGTGGATGATGTCAATCATGAACCTCCTCATGGTCTCAAACTCAAAGGGGCGCACGCTCCGGGAGCTGTCAATCACAAACACGATGTCCAGAGGTCCCGTCTTACATTTTAGTGCTGGGGAGAAAAGCAAAGGGTGGGTATAGACTCTCAGGGCACTTACATACATGCAGCAAGGCTGCTCCAATGTGCTGTAATGACAGCACGTTGGAGCAGACTCAGTTAATCGAGTCTGCTGGAGCTTGGTAATTACTGAGCTCCAGCAGACTCCAGCATCATATGTATTAGTGTTCCCACATTGAAAAATGGGGGTGGGGGACCTTTAACTAAAGCTCATTTGACAAGCTTTAGTTAAAACGCCCCGACTGCCATTTTTCAGCACGGGGACGCTGACACACGAGATACTCTGGGTGATTTAATTAGAGCAGCTCTCAGAGCTGCTCTAATTAAAGTGCCCCCCCTTCCCCCACTCCTGGAGCACATGTATAAATGTTTTTTGCCTTTCTGTGGTGGAAGAAGGTGACATGGGGCTGAAAGCAGGGAATGATTTTTTCCTTTTCTATTCTAGCAATTTTAGGGTCAACCCAACTGGGTAGCAATGGACCCAGTGGGTGTGACCAGGGAGGGGATGAAAGATCAGACCTGGTAAATACCAAGTAATATGGTCCCCACCATCTCCAGGGTTACAGTTTCCTTGGGGTAGCAAGTCAATGGGGATTGGATCAAATTCAGACAGACTTTCTGGGACTCCTGAGCTCCAGCATAAAGAAGGAACCTCTGTAGGTGGATGCACCGGGCTGGGACTGTTCTATTTAAAGCTTAAAATATTTCTCTGGCCCAGTACTAGCCCCTCAGCTATCCCAGTGCCACGTGGGATCCTGAATGAGCTTAGGCTGTTAACAACACCCATTGCTCAGGAGCAGTGTGGTGAGGACATGAGCTGAGACAAGCCGAGATCCCTCTTCCTGGTTCTTAGTCCCTCCATGCGGCTGCGTATCTTCCAAGCACGACTCAATGGGCCAGATCCTTGTTTTGGAGGGAAAACCAAAGCTTTTGATTTTGGCTGAGCTGGCAGGGAATTTTCTGCCCCTTCACACAAGACTACAAATACTCCTCTCTGTGCCCTCAGCCAAGAGGCAGAGCTGTGATTTGGACTGGCAAAAGGATGTCATGTGAATGGTAACAGCCAACACAGAGAAACAAGGCTGGATGTCCAGATAGACTGGCACTCATGAAACACCGGTTGGGGCATGGGGAGCTAGGAGACACTGAGAGCTCACACACCCGTTCCTAAAACCCAAGCCCTGCCTATTTCAGATACTGCAGGAAACTGGGTATGCTCAGGGAATCCAACCAGCAGGTACACATGCTGTAGGAAACCCACTCCCCCAGGTCAAAGCCCGTGTGGAGGTCCCAGAGCCTGCTGCTTTGGCCACTTCGGGGGGAGGCTGTGAGAGGCACAGTAAAAATGAGCTAGCTGTGTGATTTTCACTTTTCCCTGGGCAAATGCCAGCGTGGAACTGCTCACCTGATCAAGCCCTGGTAACACTCCTCAGCAAATAAGATTTAATAACATGCCTAACAAATCTCACCGGCAGTGCTGGAGCTGGTCCAGGCCTGAGCCCAGTGGCAGAGAGACTTGGTAGTCCTAGGGATGGGGATTCTGACAGAAAGGAAGTGCTCCCTCGGCCCGGGGAACTGAATTCCTCTCCAGCACCCCTCGTCCCCACTGGGATTCAGCTGCAGTTCGCCTTTGGCTCAGCTTTCTGCTGGACCTACTCTTAGGGCTGTCCATTCAGAAGAGGCCATCCATCATTCAGGCTTTGCTGGGGCACAGCATGGCCCAGCCGCACCTCCCATTCCCCTCCCAGCTTCCTGTGCTTCAGACCTGAGGGGACAGAGGCGTTACAGGCAGGTTACCCTGAATCTACCCCAGCCATGGAGGTCCCAACATCAGGAAACAGGCAGCTGCCTAGGGTGGCCTGACAGCCTGTAAGTACCACCAGAGTGGCACACAGGAGCTCCAGAGGGCCTCAGAACTGAGCCCCCCTCCTCCAAACTCACACTAAGCATTCAAGCAGGGGCCCTTAGTCCATGTCATCTTTAAGTGAAAGTTAACCCTCTGTTCACTCTCTCAGCAGTGGCTACAACTAGCAATTATTAACCCCGCTCCAGTCCAAGGGCTGTTACTTGGTTGCAGAAATGTCTATGTTTCCTTTTTTCTCTCCATAAACTCCTTCCATCTCTATATCTATTTGTCTCCCTAATATATATGGATGAGCCAAAAACATTTAAGTTTTGCAGGGCAAGGGAAGGGAATGCATCAGAACAGTCACCCCTGGCTTCCTGCTCTTAGGGAGGGGCACACCCCTCTCTGCACCGGCCTGTGGAGTCAAAGGATAAGAGTAAGCTGTTACTAAGCTTGCCAATCAATCCTCTAGCAATGAATTAGGCCCCTTGCAGGTGCAACCTCTAACTGATTGCACTCATGACATGTATGTGACAGGGTCACTCCCTAGAAGCATCAGCCTACATGTACTAAAAAAGTTCCATAATCATGTCATGGTGTTGCTGGCAGTGTAGACAATAGATGGAAGTGTGCAAGTCTTACTGTCAGCCCAGCAGAACTAGGTTTTAGGTCAGGCTTTTCAGGCTTCTGCCCAACCACAGTCTGTTTCCCCTAGAGCAAGGGTTCCCAAACTATGGTATGTATACCCCTGGGGGTGCTCAAGATACCTCAGGTCAGGGAGAAGGGGGGAGGTACACAGGAGAACTTGTATAATGGCAGATTTAATTTTCAGTATAATAATAATTGGCATGTAAGGTGTTAAATATAAACTGGTAGGGGTACACAGGTATCTGGTAAATCTGGAAATTGGTATGCAATGAGAAAAAGTTTGGAAACCTCTGCCCTGGAGTATAAAATGGGAGATTAAGGAGGTCCAGTAAGGGGTTTGCATTGAGCGAGTCATGCCAAAACACGGCCCTCAAAACACCCTCTGTACAGGCAGGCTCACAGGGGCAGAGGGCTGCATGTAGAAAGCTGTGAATGTGTGCCAGAGCATTTGAAGAATTTTGCCCCATCTTAAACCCAGTCACAGAGTGCCCACGTCTGCTGCCCAGAACCAGCACCAAAATCTCTGCGGTTCCTAAGTGCCAAAGGTCTTTGGGAAGGGCCCATCTGGGCTCATGGTTTGGAGCCTTTTGCTGGTTTTGGTATTGCAATAGATTTTCCCACTGGCTCCAGATGGAGATCATAAATGCATGTCACATGCTGCAGTGGGATTGAGTAGGTGTTCAGCACTCATCTCTCCTTGTTCCTAGAAATTGCTTTCTTTCCTTAACTGCTGCTATTAAAGGATAGTGAGGAGGCTGGGGGAATTGGGATTGTGCTCAGCCCATTCACACAAGAGGTGACATTCTGCATATACTGATAGCTTGGAAGCATGAGCAAGTGATATATGGGGGAACCCTGAGTCTTAACTCACTCCAAGAGGTTTCTGTTACTCAGACCTACACACCTACAGCTGATCCAGCTGGCACACTGTCTCCTCCGTTAGAATTTACACAGTTTTAGCCTGCTACTCACCTGCAGGCTTTGGTCGGGCTTCCAACATTGTTAGGGCAAACAGGAGGAGAGGGGCAACAAGTAGCAGCTTCATTGTTCAGCTCCAAGATCACGCAGGCTCTGGTTCTGGAGCGTTCACTGCAGGGAAAGAAAGGCAGAGGAATCACAATGGGCTCTGGGTTCATTCCTTAAGCAAATATACTCACATGTGCCTGTAGCCAAAAAGTCAGCAGAGCTCTATCCCAGCCCAGGGCCAAAGGATCTGGGCTACTGGCCCAGAAAAACCTAAAATGGATGTGCTAGCTTGTAGCAGAAAGCCCCCTTTTCCTCTTGCCTGCACTTGCTCTCCCCTCTTTGAATATGTTTTTCCTCTTCTACCTTTTCTTCCTTCCTCTTTCTTTCACTTTAAGATAAGGAATTGTGTTTTAAAATTTGTATGTGTGCATTTTGTATCTCCCCTTGTATTTTGGTATTTTCATCTATTTGTGTCCCATGGCATTTATAGCTTATATTTTATACTCCTCACCTTTCAACTTTCAACTAAATGTGTTTAGTTTCATAAGTAAGTTATACATTGTAAGAATGTTAACAAGGGCAGGAATCAAAGTGCCCTTCTCTGTATCAGGCTGGCCCCTGAAAGAGCGAGTGAATCAGTGATTGAATGTGTAACACGGTAGCAGGCAGCAATTAACACCTAAGGAAACTGCAGATCAACCAATGGAAGAACTCCAATAGAAGACAATGTAACAACCGGGAAATCTCTAAACCTCACTG